ACCTGGTCAGGAGACTGGCTGGGTCAGTGTAACCAGAAGTCAGGTGGCTCAGGGATGGTCGGAAAGGGGTGGGAGCCCAAAATATTCTGTATACACATTGGTATACAGTGGAACAGCCACTGATCAAACTGATACTTATGTCATGGAACGTAGGCTTGAAGGATCTTGGGTAGACCTGGGGAAGAAGGGGAGATGTCTGCACCTTTGTGCTGTTCTGGAAATGGAAAGGTTCTGGCCATTCAATCTGAAAGTGAGACTTGGGAGGCTGAGAGTAAGAAACCAAAGCCCCTCTTGTCTTTGGCTCAGAAGGGGGTGGATTTGTGGAGCACTTTCTATGTATCTGGTGTGCTTCCCAGTAGTTACAGCAGGTGTGGTCATGGTATGGCACTGAGGGCATACCGATGAAATAAGTTGCTCTCAGTGGCAGAGATAGGGACTCCTTCTGAGCCTCCTCTCATTCCACCACCCCCTGTGACAGACACTATGCCATTGTCAAGTCCACACCGTATACTTGTTTCCTTCAGTTCAGAAATTAAACTCTCCATGGGTCTTGGGAAGAGTGGCAGCTGTCCAAGAGCAGTGTAGATGGCATAGAACTGTCCATTTTTCTCTAGTCCTCCATTCTCACTGACACAGGTTGGCAGTAGAGATTTGCAAGAAGGACTGGCTTTGAGTTTAACCTCAAGGCTTCAATTTGCCCTCACTGCATTGTAGATCCATTCAAGCTTCCAGAGACAAGATGCACAGATCAGTCACAAGCCCACCAGCTCCCTGGGTAATCCCTACCAAATGTCAAGTCATTGATAGCCCCTGTACAGCTCTCTGGAATGACCATCATGGAAACACAGACTCACCAAGTCTTACTGTTTTCTTTCAGTATATCCAGGTGGAGCTGCGGTCTGGCCCCCAACTTACTCCCGGAAGGAACATTGGGAATACCCACACTCCGAAGCAATGCAGGGTCCTCTGCCACCCTCTCCTCACCGACATGTCAGCCCTGCTGTAATGCCAGATCCCACCGGCCTCTATGGGGGCTTCCCTTTCCCCCTGGAACTGGAAAACAAGCTGACAACCCCCCCACCCCGTTATAGCAACCAGAACCTGGAGGACCTGATGCCTCCACGGCCCCCGAGTCCCCGGGAACATCTGCTCGCCCCCTGTCTCAATGAGTACACAGCCATCAGCTACTACCACTCACAGTTCCGCCAGGGAGGAGGTGGGCCCTGCCTGGCAGAAGGGGGCTATAAGGGGGTGAGCATGCGCCTCAGCAGAGCCGGGCCCTCCTATGCTGACTGTGAGGTGAAGGGAGGGCCTGCCACAAACCGGAGCCAACCTCGAGCACCCCCCAATTATGAGGGTTCAGACATGGTAGAGAGTGACTATGGGAGTTGTGAGGAAGTCATGTTCTAGTTTCCGGCTCTCAGAGGAAGGCACAAGTCCCAGGCCCTGCACTGTCTTCTAGTCTCATGAGGAGTAAGTTGGGTGTGGCTGGGAGAAAGAAGAAAGCCACCACATCCCCAGTCCAGATGGCCATCTCTTCAAATGTGCTCTTCGGGTCCCCAGCTTGTCCTTAAGGGTGGAGGAGAAGCTGAGGGTAGAGCTGTAAACACAGCAGTAGGGCCGCAGGAAAGAGGGGATGCCCAGACGGGTGCATGCTGGGATGAGACCTCGGAGGGCAATCCCTCAGGTTGGCGGTCTCCCAGCCCCATCAAGAAAGAGATCCAACCACTGGTTCAGCATATTTGGGCCACATTCTTGGAGCTTCTCACAGGCCCATTGTTCGGCAGGCAGGTTGTGCTCAACAGGCAACCATGCATGCATCTGCTGTGGAGGGAAGACCCAGGATCTTCTGAGATCCATGCAGTGACCTTCGAAGGGACTGAAGGGTGAGCAGCCCTCCAGCAAGTACTCCAGTCACCTGAGTATCTGCCTTGTGCATGCATTTGGGACATCTACGCCAGGTGTCTCATGTCATCACCATTCCGGCACTGGGAGCAATAGCATTCTTGGGAGATGAGTCACTTGTCCCTCCATTTCCCAGAAGTCTTTTTGCTGAAGCTTCAGAAGGACTTGTTCCACCTCTGCCAGTGGGATCTTGCCCGGAACCTTCTGCATTGAAGAATTTAGGTCTTGTGTAATGCTGAGTTAATTGTCCCAAGTTTCTCAGGCACTTTTGGCCAAAAGCAAGAAGGAAGTAGTTCATTTGAAAAATTCCTAGGCACTTTTCAACCTTGCTGTCTGGATGTGTTTTCCCAAAGGGTTTCTTCTTGTCTAGACACAAGGAACTCAACTCTCTTTCAGGGCCAGGTGGAGGTGGAGAGCCAGCCAGCAGACCCAGCCCAGACACCCTGCCCTTTCCCTTTTCTTCATTGCAGATGTCTGCCAATCAAGTGTTACCCACACTGACTCGGCCCTATGCATGGAGAGTCAGTGTGGGCACATGTCTACACATGTACATACCCATGGAAAGTGTGTATGTGCACATGTGTAGAAAGTTACATAGCTCGGAGTAGCAGAGACTGGAAGCCAGGGAGGACTCTAGTGGCCTGAGCACTCGGTCCTCCACCAGTCCCTCTCTGGTCCACTGCCTTTTCACGCGTGTGGTTTTGGAGTCAGAAGTCAAAGGAAGAGCCGCAGAGACTCTCACCCACAGAGCTGCTCACAAAGACAGCTGTGTGGGGAGGATGCATTAGTGTGTCATGTGTGACTGTGGTTGTGAGTGATTGCACGAGTGGCTTTGTTAGCCACTTAATTTTTTTAACAATAAATATCTTTTTTACTGTTATTTTCTGTGTCACTTAGAATGCTTCAGGCTGGGTCAGATTCAGTTCAACAGAGTGTCCAAGTCCAGGTTCATAAAGAATTTAGACCTCAAAGGATTCATCACCTGATAACTGCTAAGCTAGACTCTTGAGCTTAACCAGATACCAGAAGTCAGAGAGGTCTGAGTAGGGCCCTGGACACTATTTTGGAGAAATGCCTCTGATTTGGAGAAATGACTCTGAAATATCCCTTCTCAAGTTCTTCAATTAAAAGAAGAACCTCAGTATTATTATTATTTATAATCTATTTGTTTGGGTGTTTGGAGGTCAGAAGACAACTTACAAGAGTTAATTCTCTCCCTCCATCACATAGTTCCCAGGGATTGAACTCAAGTTATCAGGCTTGGTGGCATGTGCCTCTACCAGCTGAGCCATCTCACCAGCCCCAAGCTCCTCAATTTAAAGATGAGGAAATTAAGGTTCTGGGGCACAGGCTGTAAACAGTAGGCATGCCAAAAGCCCAAGGCTCAAGACTTCAGTTCCTGATACCACATGAGATGCCTGCAGCAGGGGCCTCACTATCAAAGTTTGGGGGAGCCAACAACTATTGTCCCACTGCTGGATGGCACTTCTGGGAGCTGTCATGACCTGAGACTGGAAAGCCCAGTCAGTCATAGATGGCTGGTATGAGACACCCCAGGTGGACTGGTGGCTCTGGAGTTAGGCAGGCAGGCTTCTTGCCCAGCTCCATTGCACACTAATATACATTCTTGAACAGCTTTCACTTGACTCTTGTTTTAAAAACTTGCTTTGAGAGCTTCTTTTTAGACCCCTGATTGCCCAGGCTATGAAGCAGCCTGACTCAGTATGCAGCCGAGGATGACCTCAAACTTTCCATCCCCCTGCCTCCATTTCCTAAGTGCTGGGTGTTGGTCATCACGCCTGGTTTATGCAGTACTGGTAATAGAACCCAGGGCTTCATGCACGCTAGGCAAGCACTCTACCGGCTGAGTCACACCACTAGTTCTTGTCAGAGAGGACCTCAGTAGGCCTCTCACAGCACACAGAGCTATTGTCTAAGCCCCTTACACATACATGGACATCCCTCACCAGAGTGACACGTTTCTTACATCAGTAACAACATAGGCCCACAACTAACCAAAGTCCACAGCACACAGTAGGGCTCATTCCTGGTGTTGTAACAGGATATCTACCACAATGTTATCATATGGAGCAACTTAGCTGCTCTTAGAGTTGCTTGTGCCCTGCCAGTCACCCCCTCTCCTAGCCCCTGACAGCCAGTGACCTGTCTTCACAGTTTCGCCCTTGACAGAAGGCCACAGAGTCAGAACCACACCTTAAGTGCCCATTTCAGGTTGTTTCATTCCGTCCTGTAGCGTGCATTTACATTTCCACCATTTCTCTATGTGGCTAGACAGCATATTTCCTTTTAACATGTATGCCATGATTTGGATATGGCAGTTGGTTCATCCACTTGGCCAACTGAAGAACATTTTGGTTGCTCCCACATTTTAGCCACGAAAAACTCATGAGCTGGTGTTTCTGTAATCAGGTTTCCAGTTCCTTTGGGTAAATTTCAGAGTGTAGTTATTTGTTTGTATGGTGAGATGATAAGAATAAGTTTAGCTTTATAAGAAGCTACCAAAGTGTCTGTATCATTTTGCACAATTTCCATTAGCAATGCATGAATGTTCCTGCCCTCAGTTTGGGCCAGTCTCCTCAGCACACAATGCCTCCCTTAGTTTGGGCCGTTCTCCTCAGCATGCAATGCCTCCCTCCACGTTGTTCCAAATATGTATTTTCTTGATGACACAAGGTGTAGAGAGTCATTGAGTTGTTTTTTACCATCTTCAAATCTCCTTTAGTGAGATGGCTGTTCAGGTCATTGGCCCAGTTTTAAAAGTCAGATTGTATATTTTCTTATTGTTGAATTATACGAGTTCATTACCTATTTTAGATAAACAATCCTTTGCTCAGTAAGGGTTTTTGTAGATATTTCCCCCAACTTTCACCTGACAGCTTGATAGTGTAGTTCACAGAAAATGTCTCCCTTTCCCTGTCTCTTTGTCTCTGTCTATCTCTCTCTTTCTCTGAAATAGACCCACCACTTGGCCCAGCTGGTCTTGAATTTACCTGTGTATCACAGATTGGCCTCAAACTTTGCTCCTGCCTCAGCCTCTCAAATACCGGGAATTACAGCACACATTACAAAACATGGCAGGTTTTAGTTTTAAGGCAGTCTAACTTAGTAATTCTTTCCTTCATGTGTGGTACATTAGGTGTTCTACCTAAGTACCCAGATGCATACATCTGGGTGGGTCAGAGGGCAGAGAGAGTAGGATGCTGCTACCCCGCTGGCTTTCTACTTTCTCCATTCTATTCAGTCTGAGACTCCATCCCGGGAGATAGTGCCATCCACAGTCAGGATGGGTCTTCCTGCTCAGTTAAATTTCTTTGAAATCCCCCCCCCAAAGACATGCCCAGTATGTCTCCTGGGTTATTCTTTTAAAAAGTCACTGTCATACCAAAGATGGTCTGTATTTTTTGTATGATATCTTCTATGGTTTTATGATATCTTTATGGTTTTATGTCTTACTTATTTTGGATCTGAATCTAGCTCAGCTCTCTAGATGTGGATACCTAATCTGCAATACCACTTGTTGAAAAGGCCATCTTTGCAGCAATAACTCCCTTTGCTTCTTTACCAAAGTCATACTGTGCTTCTTATTTTTTCAGTAGACAAAGTCAGTCAATAGTACCATATTGGTTCCTGTGATAGCTAATGTTGTCAACTCAGTGGGATCTGGAATTAAAGACACCTTCAAGGTGGGTTTTTCCCTCCTCGCTTAAGCCGCTTTGGAATTTCCCAAGACATGCCCAGAGGTGTGTCTCCTGTATAATTCTAAATCTAGCCAGGTTGACAATGAAGGTTAACCATTGTAAATAACAATGGTAGCTAGTTCATAACAACTGTTACATAAGGACATCAAGAGTTGTTTTAATTTTCTTTAATTTTTTTAGACAAGGCCTTATGCAGCCTAGGCTGGCCTTGAACTTACTATGTAGTTGAAGATGACCTTGAACTTCTGATCATCCTACTTTTACCACCACACTCTGTTTATGCAGTACTGGGGACAGAGTGTCAGGTCACCCGTCAGTCAGGTGGGTTACACCAGGCTACCAGTTATTTTCTTCTAACACAAGAAAAATTCCTATTCAGATAAAAAGAACTGTGTTTTGGAAACACTGAAACCATGGACCTTACTCCAAGGTCCACAGAGAAGCACTGGAAGATGACCCAAACTCCTCCCTTCCTTTGGGCACCTTTCCAGATTGGCCACCAGGGGGCGCTCTGACCTTAAGAACCAATCCTCCCATCAAACTACTTGGGCCCTCGGAGGCTTGCCACCGTGTTGGGGCTGCTTGGTGCTGCTGATTGACAGCCTAGGCTGCCTCCTGAAATGCAGGAGTGTCCTCTGGGACCCAGCTCGGCAAAAACAAGTCTAATATTTTCTCAAATTCTCCAATAAGCCTCCAAGGTCCAGCCAAGGAGAAACGGTTTGGTGAGATTAACATGAAACTAAAAGCATAACAAAGGCAATTTACCTGTCCATGACACCACTCACTGAGTCCCCAACTAATTCAGGAACAGGCTTGCCCCTAGGGCATACAATGAGAGAGGGAGGCAGTCTCACTTAGCTAATGCTCTCAGCAGCTTAGGAGCTAGGCAAGGGGCAAGGTGCCCTTTATTATCCACGGGGCATTGATTCTAGGGCCCATTGAGGATACCAAACTCTGGAAGCTTCAGTCCCCTATACAAAACAGTGTGTTGTTTGCCTGTAGCCTACACAGGTCTTCCTACATATTGTACATTCTCTCCAGATTGTTTCTCGTATCTAAGATCATGCAGGTGAGACTCGAGGGAAGCACAAAAATCTGTACATGCTCAAAATTAAGTGTAATATTTCCTAGTATTTCCTATGTTGAGTTGCTTGAATCTGCAGCCGAGGTACCTACAGACCGTGACGAGTTGCTGGAGCCACATCTCCCTAGCACATGTTAAGTATAAGGCTCACCAGATAGCAGCACACCCTGGAAGGAGCCACACATTCCCACCAAACTAGCCAGGGAAGATTCCAGAGACAAGCAGCCGTCTGGTCTGGGTGTTAAGAGTTGAGCCCCAGGTTGGACATAGACAAGGGCAGCCAGTTAGGTCAGGAGCAAGCAATGTTGAAGCCTAGTGACTGAGAATGCAGACAGCAGGGGTGATCTCACAGATGGAGGCTGAATGAGGGTGTGTGAACAGAACAGACCAGGATCAGAGCACAGTGTGGATGGCCTAGGTACCCAGTAGGTCTGGGGTAGGGGTGCGGGGTTCTCTGTGCACACTGAAGGAAAGCAGATGAGAAGGGATGAAAGCAGGAGACAGGTGCCATGGATCTGGGGGTGGGGGGACATGAGGTGAGAGATCTGGCTAGTTAGAAAATGTGCATCTTGGGTAAGTTTTTAAAATCTCTTAATGTTTCTGTTTGCAAGGGCATATTGCCAGAAGTTTCTTTCAGTGGTTCTTAGTATTAAGTGAGATGCTATATAGAAAACTGTTGACTGTTATTGACATAAAAAAAAAAAGTCTCAACATGTTGTTCTACCTTTACCATTGAAAAAGCAGTCTCTGAGCTAGGCAGTGGTGGCAGCACATGCCTTTGGTCCCAGCACTTGGAAGACAGAGGCAGAGGCAGGCTGCAGCTCATGTCCCCAGAGGCTCATCTCCCCCCCCCCCCCCCCCCTCTTTTCTTCCCCTTAAAACCCCTTTCAAAAAAAAAAAAAAAAAAAAAAAAAAGGAAAAGAAAAAGCAGTCTCTGTGTAGTTCCCATAGCCACACACCTTTGTTCCAAGGCCAAGGGCAGACTGTAATGGGGAGACAGGCAGATTACAAAATGCTGAACCTCGGGGAATGGCTCAGTGGGTAAGAATGCCTGCTGAGCAAGCATGAGGACCTGAGTTCAGATCCCCATAACCCACATAAAAATCTTAAGTAGCCATGTACATATTTTTAACCCCAGTGTCATAGGGGCAGAGACATGAGGAATCCTGGGTCTGCCTAGCTGCCAGCCTAGCTACAGGTTCAGTGAGAAATGCCATCTTCAGGGAGTAAACAGGATGTCCAACACCTAGGTGTGAATACACACACACACACACACACACACACACACCATACACACAACAAATAAACAAATACAACCAAGGCAATATTGTACATCTTTATTGAGATGGTCTCAACTCATCAAGTTGTTCACCAAAAAACAGGCAAATTTTTCTAAATGTAGATTAGAATCCATTTCCTTTTTTTTTCCAGAAAGGTGAGGGAGACTAATGGCCATCATTTAGGAAAATGCACCATTCAAGGTTCCCGGTCTCCAAGCACATCTACAAAGGGGAAGCTGTCTACCAAGAAAGCCATGGTCAGTCTGCTGTTACCCAGATGTATGTTTCTATCAGAGCAAGGGGCTAATGTGGGACCTGGAGATCTAGGAGTGTGATTACAGCCATTAGGTATGAATGACACCTTGATGTAGATTATGTAAACAGGTGTTTTGGTTTCCTTCAATTAATATTTTCAGAAATATTCTCTAAACCTTTCATTTTTTTATACTCCCATTTCCCCCACAACAATCCCTCACAGCACCCCCACCACCCCACCCCATCCCACCCCACCTCAGGCTGTAAGCAAAAGAGAAGAGGCAGTACCTTGAGAAGTGCTTGAATTCTGGCACCAAAACCCAATGTGTTGCAGTTCCCTGTGCCAGCTGGAGGCCTGTAAAGACTGTCTCTGGGCCTTTGAGTTGACTCAGTATATGTGCGCACACACAGCCATGTGCCAGACAAGCAACATCATAGATGCAATGGTGAATTAGTAGCCATCTCAGTTAGTGTAAGCAAACTCTTCATGTGTATAGATAAAAACAGATTTCAGAGAGCTGGCCTGGCTGTGACTGACAGGAGTAAAATTCTCAGGGTGGGCTGGCCTCAGTGTCAGAAGCCAATCTGACACCTGTAACTACCCACTGGTATATGCAGAAGGCATTGGAAATGCCTACCCAGGATTTCAGGGGAATGCTGAGGTGGTTTAGGGATGCAGGATTGTTTAACAGAAAAAAACAAAATAAAATCCCGGATCCCTTTCTCAGACCCCCTCTTCCTTCAACAGACTGTCCTATCCTGAGTGATGTTTTGGGAGCTTTTGTTTGTTTGTTTGTTTGTTTTGTTGTTGTTGTTGTTTTTGAAGTGTGAAAACAGAGACACAGATTACAACCTCTCAAAAATAAAAAATAAAATTCATTTATTGAAGTGGAAATTTAACACAAGGTCCATGGGTTCAACCCAACTGAGACCTAGACGTTCTGACATGCCCCCATGTGTACGCTCACCCTACTGAGATCACATCAGAGGAGGTACGAGACACACAGTACTGTCTGGCTCTCAAGACTCTCTGTACAGCAGTTCTCTAGTTCCTTGATTCACACATCCACTGACAGTTTACAACACAGATATGGAATTTTATTTTTCATTAAAAAAGAAAGAAAACAGTTTCTTTAACATCACCTTGATTTAAATCAAAGAACAGGGCAAACACCATGCACCTTCCAGCCTCATTGTCCACTTTTTTTTTTCCCTGATAACTGTCTATGAGCACATTTTAATGTCCCTGACCAGGAATGACTCGGGATACACAGAAAAGGAGGAAACCAATCAGGCAGAAGCTGGCTTGACCAGCAGGACTAAAGTGCCTTCAAGTATTGACCACAGTTTCAAAGACGAGCCAGATGGCTTGCTTTCCCCTAATGGCCTCTGATTTGTAATGTACTTTAGAAAATGAAATTCTAAAGTCGACTTGGCGCCACCCTCCTTATTGCCACGTCGTCCCACCACTCTGTCTGGTTCCCGTATCAGGTCTCAAGCAAGTCTCAGTGTCCTGATGGGAGTCGTGGCTGGGGCTGGCCAGTAGAGAAAGCAAACCCATATCTAGTGCCCTCAATGTACAGAGGACAGGGAATGCTGTAAACATGATCAAAGCTCCGTACTTCCTGGAAGGATCAGGTGAGACAGTAGTGTCCAAGACATGACACTGAAGAGAAGGAGAAATCTGAGGATGAAAGAGAGCCTAAGGACAAGCTCTGGGATCCGCCTTCAGACTACTGATCACACTTAACCCATGACTTCCAAAGGTGAGCACCTTCCCATTGGGGTGGCTAAGAAGGTGAGGTGGGTGGGGCTAAGATAACCCATTCCTCTCCTGACTCAGACAGCAGCACATTACAAATGATGCCACCTGTAAGGGCAGGGTGAGCTGCACAGGCTGGATCACATCTTCCCAGCAAGTACTCACATTCAAGTTTGGGATAACGGGTCTCTGAACTGTGGGTACAGACTGGCAAGGATCAGGCAGCCTGTTTGCCCTTGGGGCATCTGGATGCAGGTTTCCTCTTCATAAAGCCTTCCTGTTCTGAGTGTTTTCTCACCAGGGGCCAGCTAACTCCCAACTGACAGCAGGAGAGGGCATGAGGATGCTGCACTCGTAGGCTGTGTGCAGCAGACGACCAGCCTCCTCTTCCACCTGGAACTATTTGCTTAGCAGCTGTCTGGTGTCCATCCAGAAAGGTCCTGATCTTCCTGAAAGAGTCAAGCCACCAAACTACCAGTGCTTTGGGATCACAGCAAGAGATCACACCAAGGAAGCTGCCACTAGCCCTCATGCTAAACAAGGCACTCCACACAGTCTCAGGCCAGGGGCCCTGAAAAGACAGCTGGCCTTGTGCATTGGGTCTTGACACCTGGATAGGGGTGCCTCTACCAATTCTGAATACAGTGTCCTGAAGCCATGTTCAGGTGGCCTCTAGGAGAGAGCCAGGCCCACATTTGGGTTGCTGGAACCCAAGTCCAGAAATAGCAGGTCAGCACCTGAACCTACTTTGGGCATTTTCCAGCTGGAGACTTCAGAAAGCAACATTTGTGAAGTCCAGCTGGCTGGCACCTGGACACATAAGCGCCTGTGGAGATGCTAATGAGCGGAAAGGGTAAAAAGCACTGCTCTCCTAGGGGCTGAGGACCTGCAAGACAGCAGTGCCTCCTCCTAGCCTCATTGCTTGGACCAGAGGCCACCCTTCCCATTCTTTGGCCTGGACATCATTCGGCAGACTCTGGACAGAACAGCAGGAAAGGGCTTGGCTGCAAGGTTGAGTCACAGCCCTTCTAGCTTCTGTCAAACACAAAAGCAAGACCCTGTTAAATTCTTGCTCCTTTCTCTGAACCAAGGTTCAGGGCAAATCCTATCTCTAGATAAGAGCCTGGTAACCAGAGTGGAGGACACATGAACCACTCTGTCATGTATGTACGTGTGTATGCGCACATATGTGTGCAGTCACACACACAACTCTGGGACGAGGAGCTAATGACTGCCCTTTGAAAATCCTTCTTATACCAAGAGGGGCACAGTGGCAAGCCACAGACTTTGTTAGCTGCCTCAAAGGCCCACACTGAGGTGACAGATCTAGAAGCCATGTAACTCTACAGGACGCATGATGCGGGATGGACATAGGACACAGTTAGTGTTTAGTGGTTCCTTGGAAGCCCAGGATACAGAGGCAGCCTGGGGCAAGGCAGGGCTTCTGTTCTCTCCCGAGGAACTGTAAACAATGACCCTTGTGCGTAGTGTCTACGTCAGAACCCACACCCCAGTCCTCAGCCAGCACCCCTGACAAGTACTTCCGAATGCCCATATGGCTGCAGTCTCATAAATGGAAGTCCTAGAGGGGGTGCATGCTCACATGATCTGCTTAAGGTCTCTGAGCCAGCTGGGTGTGGCAGCTCATGCTAGTAATCTCAATACCTGAGGCAGAGGCAGGAGGACCAAGAGTTCAAGGTCACCCTTGACATAGCAAGTTCAAAGCCAACTTTGGTGACATGAGACCCTGTCTCAAAAAAATACAAATAAAAATAAAAAACAAACAAAAAGAATGGCCTCTAGGCCACGAGGGTGGAGGATATATACCATGGTCCCCTGGAGCAGGTTTCTGTGTGGCAGGAGAAGCCATGTGCAAGCTGATGAAGGAGAAGTAATCCACTATGATGCCAGGTCTGAAGTCAGATCCCAAAACCTAAGCTTAAATAAATTATAAATACCTCCAATTTGGGCAGCATCTCATTATCTTTAAGAGCTAAAGGAATCAGGAGGGCAGTATTATGGCCTATACAGAGGAAATGAGAGAAGAGGTGGTGTGGCCTGTGAGTTGGGAGGTCTGGAAGCCTCTCAGGACTCAGCTGGGTGGGAGAGTGAGGTACAGCATTTGGGAGTCCAATGAGAAAGAGGCCTGGCTTTGTAAAACGTCAGAGTCTCCACTTATTTAATCTAGCCCTGGCCCTGGAAAGGGGAAAAGGTCAGGAGCAGGATACTACCTTGTAAATAAAGTGAGCTGTGTGCTGGGGATAGTTTAGGTGTGGCAGGGCAGGGGAGGGGGGCCAGTCCCGAGGGAGGGGCACGATGAAGGAAAGCAGTGACTGCACCATCACAAGCGGAGTGTCTGCTCCCCACCATCCCCCACAGCTCAGTCTCACCTAGCCCAGGGTACCCAAGGGTCCAATGCCAAGTGGAGTGCCCAGACAGCAACCCAGCCTTTCTCCTGAGGCTGTGGGGACACTACTGGGAGACACACAAGGTGGGGCTGGGTAGGTGCAGGGAACACACCCAGATCCTTATATGAAGGCACTGGTGGAATTGGTAGAGGTGTTGCTGTGGCTTGGAAAGATCAGCTCACACAGAGACTCGTAGGTCCCCACCACGAAGCCCACGAAGCCAAAGATGCTGATGAGGACATCCTTGGCGATGGTCAGGGGGCTCAAGCCCTCCTCATAGAAGGTGGTCACCTCCAGCAGGGGCGGGATGATGAGGGCCAGGGCGCTGCTGCTCATAGAGCCCACCAGGGAGAGGACCAGGTCCAGGCGTGGGATGAGGATGGCCAGGACACCTGCAGAGAGAGTGGACATCTTTGGTCAAGAATGCCTGAGACTATGCTCGCTGGCCAGAAAAATCAGCCTGGGACCACATTTGGAATACAGAGCTTGAAGGAAATCAGGATACTATTTAGTCCAATCTCTGCGCAATATGTGATCAGAGATGTAGAATTACTATGGTCTCCTGACTTGTGACAGCACCACCACAAGTTACTGTGTCACAGTTGCCTTAGTATATATTCTAGGCTGCCACTGAACTGGAGATCTTCCTGCCTCAGCCCCTCAACAGTACAATTGTGTACTGCTCTTCCAGTTGGTCCTCTATTGAGTCTCTCCCAAAGGGGAGGGTGGGGTAGGGAACAATGGGTGGGCCTTCCTGAGAAACCACTTACTTACTTACGCTGATGGAGCCACAAATATATCAGTCTTCAAGTGCCACAGAGAAAGGAATATACATTCCCAACACTTCCTCTTCCAGAAGACACCATGATTAAACCCTTGAGAATTTCATGGAGTGCAGGGGAGTGGTTCTGCCTGAAGATTGCCTTATAAGGAAAGCCCACCATATCAACCAGCCATGTCAGTCTTGAGACGGTGTACAGTGTAGATTTTGAACTGGTATTGCAAGCAAAAACTGGGGTTAAGAGCCAGTTGGTGACATCCCATGAGCCTTGCGGTGGATGAGAGCTGGAGGGGTGCACAGTAGGCTGCTCCCACCACGGGGCACTGCAGGAACTGCTGTACCATTCTCTGGACTGAACTGCTTGCCCTCTCAGGGGTCTGGGGTCTGAGTCGCTCTCTGCCTGTGTCAGCATCACAGTAACTGCTTTGAGTTGCAGGGTAGAAACATAAGCAAGGCAGCAGTTGGGGAGCTGACCCCAGGGAGGGTGACAGAAGTGTGGTTGGGGGTATAGGACCTTGGAGTGCCCAGTTTCATCTCTCAGCCCCCCCACCAGAAGATTACTTCTTATGGTCCCCAACTACCAAACAGTGACCAAAGGGGGTCACTGACATCAAGAACTTGAGAATGATTAAGTGTCAAATAAATAAATAAATGACCTTGGAATAAACCTAACCAGGTTATAGCCAAGAGAGAGAAAGATCTCTACAGTGAAATGAAACAAACAAACAAAAAAAATCAAAGTACCCAGCAGTGGTGGTGCACACCTTTAATCTCAGCACTTGGGAGGCAGAGACAGGCAGATCCCTGTGAGTTTGAGACCACCCTGGTCTCCAGGACAGCTAGGGCTACACAGAGAAACCCTGTCTCAAAAATTAAAAACATATGATGCTACAGAGGCTGGAAAGGTGGTTAGGCAGGTAAGAGTATTTACTGTTCTTGCAGAGGACCCAAGTTCAACTCCCATCACCCAAATCAGGCAGCTCACAACTGCCTATAACTCCAGATCCAGATCTAGGAAACCCTTCTGACCCTTGTGGGCATTGCACCTTAAAAATTAAATCCTTTAAATAAAAGAAGGCTGGGCACTGGAGAGAGGGCTCAGTGGTTAAGAGCATTGGCCACTATTCCTTAGGACCTGGGTTTGATTTCCAGCACCCATATGATGTTCATAACTCCAGTTCTAGGAGAACTGATGCCCAGGTACCAGGCACATAGGTGGTAGAACATCCACATACATACAATTAAAACAAAGTAAGACGTTGGAATGAAATCTCCCTATTTTTCTTGATATGAGTTGAGGAAAAGGAGGAAATGTAAATAAAACATTAGAGACAGCAATAAAAACAGACTACCAATAAAGTGTGCAGGTATAATTGAAAACAGTCACATAAAATGGAAAGTAATTCACCAATCAACTTTGCCACAAGAATTGAATAAACCAAGAGGAAAGAACAAAATGAACCCACACAAGTACATTTGAGTTGGTGCTACCGAGAGGCCTCTTCTGCCTCCCATAATTACTTCAAAGTCTCCAAGGAAGCTAGGAAAAGCTATGGAGCTGGCAGAGATGAAGGGGCTGCCTCCTTTCATAGGACAATTAACCAGAACAGATCACAGGAGATGGGAGAGTAGAATATACTGTCTGAGATCAAACACAGTCCAGCCCTGTGAGTGTCCTTCAATACAAAGGAGAGTGAGGCCCAGAGGAAGCCAGGAAAAGCAAAGCAAAAACAAACAAACAAACAAACAAACAAACAAAAAAACTGAGAGAATCTAAGACTGAGGTCTGGAGATAGGGATTGCCACTTCCTGAGGGATGGGGTAGGAACAAGCCTGTCGGGAAGCAGGTCCTATGCTTTGGGACATTCTGCAGAAACAGACATACTTTTTCTGTAGGGTCCATATTGGGAAGGCAAGTAATTTGAGTGCTCCAAATCCTGTCTTGCAAAACCCTTTAGATTCAAGAAGCAGGCCCTCAAAGCTGATGAAACAAGCCACTATGCACACAGAAGTAGTCTTAACAGTTGAGCTAATCCATCCTTGGAGGATATACAGCCTACTGTGCACCAGGAACTACTACAGAGTGTGAGATCAAAATGGAGCCTGTATAATTGCTCTAGAACCTCCCTGGCTTATCTGTCTCATGGGCTGTTTCCACCAGGAGAGGGGCTGGAGTATGCCAAAGAGCAGAAGGAAAAGCCAGACTTCTCAGTACTGTGAGCTCTCCAAAGCGCTGGGGAATCCATGATGACCAGACTCAGGTTATAAGAAATCCTTAGGAGAGCTGCTCAAGGTTAAGTGAGAGGATCAAGGTCACCTCCTTAGTTCTAGAGAGTTCTTTCTACATAGATGCCAAGAAGGCTTTCCTTCTACCCACTGTCCTTGCAGGAAAACAATGATGAGCCAAGTGTGGTGGGTCCCACCTGTAATCCCAGGAGTAAGATCAGAGCTTCTAGGTCATTTAACACTACAAGTTGTCCTCTGACCTCTAAATGGATCATGCCATCATGCATGCATATAATAGTAAGTAAAACAAGAAAACATTCAACTCCAGTTCAGTTTACAAATATATATCTATTTGTATATACATATGGATGCTCCTGAGTGGGGAGAAAAAAAATCATACAGACCCATCTTAATTCCAAAAATGCAGGCTAGAACTAAATAATTTAAGGATATTTCCAGGGAAATCTTAATATGATAAGCATTGAGGTGCTTACCCCAAAACAATAAAACTAACACAAAAGCCTAATTTGGAAAACTGCTAATCTCCTGGAAACCCAAATCAGAAATTAGGGACCAGTTGGTTAGGGATTCCCTGGTTTAACTCACAGAGGCAACGAGGAAAAGTTAATTTTTAAAAATTGACCTTGCTTTCAACAAACAGAACATAAGGTGATCTTATGTTTAATGTTTAACTCATATCCTTGGCTCAGGATAGGGGGAAGGGGAATTAAAAAAAAAAAAAAGAGGTAAACAGCCAGGCTAATCAATAGATGCTTAAAGATGAACAGACCAAAAATACCTAGGATTATCTCTGACAGATTTTTAAAACAACAAACACATACCTTCTATCAAACTAATGAATCCTCATTACAGACAAGGCAAAGTGGCTAGCTATTGATTGACTGAAAGAGACAAGGTCTTGTGTATCCCAGGCTAGCTTTGAACTCTTAACCTTCCTGCTTTAACATCCTAGTGCAGAAATTTTGTTGTGTACCACCATACCCAGTTTATATGGTGCTGGGGATGAACCCAGGGCTTCATGTGTGCTAGGCAAGCACTCCACCAATTGACATATGACCCAGGCCTCTGCAGTGCCTTTTAGATATTTACCTATTTTAGATGGAATAGTAACAATGCCTTCTATTAAAGTTCCCAGTCCTCATTATGAATGTGGTTGAAGTGGCTATCCATCTATCCAACCATCAGTTCATCTACCCATCCACCTTTTTATATAGTTTTCCATCTAACCAGCCAGCCAGCCATTTATCTGTCATCTATCTACCTAGCTGTCTATCTGTCTGTCTGTCTATCTATCTATCTATCTATCTATCATCTATTGAAACAGGGTCTCATGTATCCCAGGCTGACCTCCAAACCCTGATCCTCCTACCTGTATTTCTCCAGTGCTGGGCTTGCAGGTATGACCATACCCAGCTGATGTGGTACTGAGTGAGGATGGAACCCCAGGACTTCATGTACGCTCTGTAAGCACGCTGCACACTGAACTACATCCCCAACTCTCTGAAGTGGCTTTTAGGTTGTTTCCCATTTAGGCTGGGACAATAACAGCATGTCTTTGTTCCCTATTGTACTTTAGAACTCATCTATAAACTACTGTCCTCACTTCTGAGTTCTTGGGGGTCACTGAGAACCAATTCTTCAGGCCTTCAACTCCAGCACTGTGACTGTGTGCTAAGCTCTCAATGGAAACAACTCAGATGTCCTTTAGGAACATGTCAGTGTTCTCAACCTTCCTAATGTTGTGATCCTTTGATACAGTTCTTCATGTTGGGGTGAACCCAACCATTAAATTATTTTGTTGCTACTTCCTAAGTGGAATGTTGCTATCGTCATGACTCAATGTAAACATCTGATATACAGGGTATCTGACATGTGACCCCTGTGGGGGTCATGACCCATAGGTTGAGAACTGCTGCTTTAAATAAATGCAGAAATAATCTCTTCTACTCACATGTTATGCAGACCATTGCAGTGCGCACACAAAGGTCCACCAATAGTGTACAATGCTCAGGTACGCGGGACACAATGACTGGAACCATGATCTCAGCTGCAACGTAGAACTGGAGAGCATATGTGAAGAAGATGCCTATGGAGTACAGCAGCTTCACAGTCTGGTACAACC